GAGCGATAACTGATTAACAAAGTCGCCATTGGGTGTGGATACAAACGAACACTCACTAATGTCGTGTCTCCATAACACTTGTAATCATCTAGCCACCGCGCATGCCTGACCAACAGCAAATGCATGCCTGCCTGACTGCCTCAGATCTATGGAACTGGAGGTTAACAGGCAGAAGGCGGCTGTTTCCGCCACTATCCTAGAGATTGTTTGACTGATGAATAAGCCACCACCATTTACCTGCTATCGATCAATAAGTATATACCGCTTCATATGGTGGTTAGTATATCTGTCCGCACTGGTTACGGCGTGAGCTTCGGTTGATGTGATTGTTGGGATCTCCTCCTTACATATTCATCTCAATTTGCCCATCAGACGGTTGCCGTTTTGTGAGAAATCATTGGGGTTTCCTTCAGACGCGTATCAGTGCAGCACAGATGGTGATGCTCGACCACTTTCATTGGACTGTCTGTCTTTTATGCTCGGAGTTTCCAACCAGTGTCACACTTGTTAACGTCCTATGATCATTGGGCGTGTAACGACGCCAAAGCAGTCTTCCTAGCCTCGGGAACTTGAATGCACAGCACGCGATTTTTAAAATGTGTCATGCTATATCCTTGGTACAATGCTCTAACATATCTGTAGAATGGTATATTTTCGCGGACACTGCGTTAGCCGAATCCGTTCTCTGACCAGAAACCGTGCTACATCGTCAGCTGTAAACTTGCGGATAAGCTGTGACATCCATGGATGAGCAAACATTATTTCAGTGTTACAGCTGGAACAGGCGGAATCCTTTATTGTTGTTCTCGGTACGAAGATATATAACCCTCGCGTGTTTCTGGATCCGACGTCAACGCAAATCTCGATATGCATGGAAAACTCCCTTGTCGCACTGATTACTGTTGTTCTGCAAGCGATGGATGTGGTTGTTACTCAAACACACTCTTACCATTACCGTGATATGCGTTTTACTCTGTGGAGCAGTTTGTTGACTTGCTTCATAACAGCAGTCAATTTGGAAGATAAGTAGTTCAGATAACAGAAAACACTTTCAGGACAGGGACATGCTTTATATCAATGGAGTTAATCTGTTGTCTTTTCTTGATTTCTACTGAAAACCGCCGGAAGATTTTAGCATTTCGAACTTATTTGTGAAACATCGCTACTCTCCTGATCAATATCGCCCTTGGCGTTCTACTTGGTTGTTTCTTTCGCTGATGGATTGCATGAATTCGCGAAGTATAAGAGTATACTGCATTCCATTATTATCTAGCGCGAAAAATACAATCCGCCACCAAACTGGCTCTTCGCAACCTACACAATGAATGTAAAAATGCATATGAACTATTCCAGCATGTAATCCAATAGACTGGTGTGGTCTCGAAAAACGAAACATATGGCACTCTCGCAACTAAATGTTGCCTACAATAGCTAGGAAAGCATGAGGACGCTCAATTTTATCAATGGCCATGACTCCACCTGAAATGCCTCACTAGGTGTTGGCAACGCATAGTGTCATCTCCGGAGCGCGGCGTTTAACGGTTCCCCGACAATGCACCTGCAATCGTATGACCATTATCTTTGTTAAGATGACCATTCATACCACTGAGTTATTTGGCCAGTCGTGGTTATCGCTCACAATAAGTAGAGATTTTCAGTTATCCACAGGCAAGTCATCATGTAAATATTAACTGGCCTGGCCAGTTTGTTGAGGGTGGCCCCAGTAAACATCGTAATAGCCATGTACGCTTGACTCGAACAGCGGAGAAGTAACGGGCGAATGATGCGAAGTTGGATCAACGGACATAACAGCACGCTGGATCGACCTTAGGTTTAGTGTCTCCATTTAAATAAACTGGTGCTGTGTATCGCCATACGAATTTCTCCCACTACATAGACGCTGCCATACGTTGTACAGTGACCATATGTTGTCAGTTAATTCGTACGTGGATTTATGCTGCGGCACATCGCGCACACTAAGAAGCTTCCACTCAATGAAGGCAAACCTTCCAACTCCACCTGATGTACAAACACTTGCAGTAATTATACTCTTGCCTTATCATGTAATTCTACGGTGTTTGAAAATTTGTGGCTGAAACTTCGGCACGTATCTGCTAGCATATTTTAGCGTGTTTCTTACCATTCACTATTACTCGATAAATTATCATACTTACTACCCAATTATCTGTTAAACATCTCCATCCGACCATCTGAGCATCTTTTGCAACCTATCTTGAAATTGCTACTTGTGGAATAATCTGCTCCGCACTGATTTGAACACTACAGCGCAGATCGCAACCGTCTGGTTGCTTCTTAACTTAAATGGAAAGGGTCGATACCCTTATCGTTGACACTATGTGCCCATTTGTGTCTTCACTCAGTCTACCGCACCACCTTGTCGTTCTGTTACTTATGACATCGTAAGCTTTCAACCACACGATAATAGTCACCAGACCTCGGGTGCGCATTTCGACAAGTCCGCTGAATTGGTATCAGTGACCAGCGTCCACCAGTGCAACTGGGGAATCTAAGTATTCTTTTAACAGCCGACTATGCGAAATTACACAAGATTGGTTTTTAGCGTGTTTTATCTTTGCTCTGCATCTCTGTCTGACCGCTAACAATCCTAATTTACAATGTGGCCACCCAAGTGTAGCCATATTTGGTAACATAAGTACTGCGTATTTTCCACATCCTAGTCGGTGGGAATACAGTAAGAGATCCGGAAGTAAAGATCAATATCTTCTTCTCCAACAAATGAGCTCATTTCACAAACGAAATTTAAATTACGCTCTTTCGAATTATTATGATTTGATAATATTATTGGTTTATTGAAATTTTCAAAGATCCCCTTATGTTGATTGGTTATATTAGGAATCCTATGAAAAACGGCCAAACTTTTTCAGACGGGGAACATAGAAAAACTAAATATTTATACTGCCTCCACAGTAGGCGGGCGAGTGTGTGGTTTAAAGATGTATTTTTTAACACTAGGCATAATAGGCATTGAAAAATTGAACATAGCAATACTGATGGCCTGCAAGCTGTCTGACAGTAACTAAAATGTCAGCCTCAGAATAAAGACGCCAATCAATTTTGCTCAATCATTTTCAGCTTTTTAAGCGAAAAAGCCGCTGAGTGATCCTTGTAATTTGACTCATCCTAGGCCTGCAAAGCTAGTTTTTTACGAGTGTTTAAATTAATCAGATAGTACTCCTCTGCAAACGTCTGCAATTGGCATTGTGCAACGAACACCGGAAATGGGGACTAGCTTCATCATTATTGGAGTCATTGGAAAGTAGAGAGCAGAAGGAAGGATCATTGTCGGCTCCGGAAGGACGATGCTCATAGAGAAATCATAGTCGGTCCAGAAAATAAATGAACTTAATGGGGCTGCTTATGACGTGAACTTGGATCGCGGCACAGCATCCATATTGGTAAGGATGCTGTGAGATGTTATCTTTCCTATCTCTATAAAAACGTGTTCGGCGGAACAAACGGATAGACATGTTTCCATATTTCGTACAGCGGTGGTCTAACTAAGTTGAACCCTTTGTTCATAAGAATGAAAGGGAACTCTAGCCGCTTGTAACGTTTGAGCAATGGATCCTATATTGTTCTGTAGAAATCTGGTGTTAACGACCAAGTCACCTCCAAGAATAGATAACCTAGTGCAATCTAAAATTACAAATGCACACAGACGAATTATTCACCTTATGTACTTAGGTCTACAAAAGGCATACAGCTACAAAAATCTCGGTAGGGTGTATTGTTTCTTATCAGCTGGCCTCCCACACTCACCAGGAAGAGCAACATGCTACTTCACATACGAAAAAGAATAATTGTCTCCTGGCTATACCTAGTTATCACCTTACACTCTATAACATACATCGGAAGTGCACGATAACAGGAAGCAAACAGCCAGTAGATTAATGTCACCCTATTCTCCATTCCAGGCACATTCACCCCTCTTCCATGGTCTTTTCCTACAACCCTAGGTTAAGGGTTAAGGGAATGTACTCTCATTCCCACTAAGATACTTCGGGTGAAGACCAACTGTTTGGTCCCACTCTTCCGCCAATATGTCCAAATGACAATGCTAGTTCAATGCCAAGCCTACGATCGTTTGAACACGTTGCCTCAGTACAACTTGTGTCATCCAGCTCTAATGGCATTCACACTTGACAAACTGACCATACCCCAAACTTACTAATGGTTGAATGAACCCAACCACTATTGCTTTTACCTATCATACATACGGAATCGAAAATTCGGCGTAACAATACCCACTCGTCAAGAAACTGATAATCTAACAATCCAATTAATTTTAAGCGATGTCACAGATGGCTGCGTCCCAGGGAATGGGGATTATCAAGTACTCTAAATATGTAAACCAATAAGTGCTGTCATAACAGTCATTTTTAATGAATAAATCAGCATGATCAGTTTAGAACACGATACATACCATAGTCAAAATGCGTCACATAACTGGTTAGATATTGATGTCTATAACACTATTAGATGTTCTAACTCGCGATGTGGTAAGGACTGGGAGTGTGGTAATCACATACGTGATGGGATGGGACTTGTCTTGATGGCATACTCTGTTACGCGAAATGGCACTGTACAAGCTTGGAACAATAATGTCGTGCTCAATAAATGACTTCACAATATCCTTATTTGTTTCATTCTTAAAATTATACACGTTTCTGATAGATTGTTGAGAGTATGTTCTGTCCACAGATGATCTATCGAAAATCACGTTACTTTCATGTTTCGCTGCACGTGGAACATATGTGTATGGTTGTATTCTCTGACAGCACTCAGTGGAGGGGGATTTAGATAGAGACTCCAGTGTGGTTTGCTCTTCACCAAAGTGACTTTTGCTGGCCGGTACACCATCGTGTTTTACTGCTTGGGATTTCTTTACACGCATCAAAGTATGATGAAGGATCTCGGTTTCCGGCATATGAGCCCTCGTGGGCGGATGGAAATTAATTTCAGTCGAAATCGGCTTGTTGTTCTGGACTCGCAAGCAGCCATAGTGAACATCTGGGCATTTCTTGTAACGGTAGAAAACACAAAACACACTAAAAAATCCGATAAGTGTGAATAATCCGAGAGAGATTGGAATCAAAATAAATGAATACTGCTTCCAAAACGAACTTGCATCCTGGTCATTGAATTTCATTATATCCGCATTTTGCTTGATGTCGTTGGCAGTTGTTGAGACTATGTGACTGTTGTTATAGTCTATAATGGCAAAGGTATTTGAAATGAAAAGAGTACCGGAATTTCGTTTATATGCATATGCGAACAATAACAAATGCAATTGTAGCCTTATTTCTTTCAGTGAATTCGACTAAGCAAAAGCAACAGGAGGACGCTATCCTTAGGGTGAGCGATTTACTAAGACTAGCGCGTCATGTGTAATTTATTTTATGCTCCGTAATGGTTGGATTCGCAAAATTTATTGACTAGTTGCATCAATGTGGAGCCGAGTTATCTTTACACCACTACTACACAGAAAACTCTTAAGCAAACCTTTTGATCCTAAAAGTGCTTGCTACACTGTATTTGAAATAAAGTGCCTGCTAGGAAATGTAAGAGCGTGAGAAGCAACAACGCTTGCATTTAGATGTCACCTAGGCTACACAGCAACGTGCTAGACAAGATTTTGTGCGCAGTGGTCCCGACAGTTGAGTGGACCTATTGCAATATTGACGTGAATCCCGGTGGTAGAAGACATAGTGTTCAAGTCCGCTGCATATCCTTGAGTTCCACTACCTGTGTTTGGCTTATGGTATTTTACCCTACTGTTCTTCTGTTTTTAATTGTACCAGGTAAGAACACAAATCAAGTAAGCGGTTTTCTAATGTAACACGAGAATACCTGGAGTAAGATTTTCAACATTTATCACTTCGACAATCAGTCGCATGTTGGCTCGTAAACATATTTCCTGTTGGCCTGAAAAGGAAATGATGAGATAGCGAGTGAAATACATTTGATTTTCTGAGTGTAAAGTATCGCTAAGCAATGATTAACTATGTAGGCCTGTAAGCTTGGTTGAAACGTTACAATTTGGGATTTGCTTACCTTTTCTGCTGGGATCAAATCTCAAGCGTCGGATTACGGCAATACAAATGTTGCCGTGCACTCATGTCACAACATAATACGTATGCTTATTTTGAACTGTCCTTTGGATTCCATGATCAATACAAAATAAACGGCTGTTCAAATTTGCTGCTGATTGGATTATTGACTGAAGGGTAAACAAGCCTTGCGTCAAGCTAAATGCTCATGAATATTTTGGAAGCATGCAACACACTGGGTGATTTTACAGTAAAATCCTGACCAAATACTTATGACAAATTACTGCCGCAACCCATAGAACCTTAGGCGTCATGTGCGGCAGAACTTGCCTGCAGTCCACCTCTCAATATCATGGATGTTAGTGAAATTGGGCAGCATAGGGTCGTGTTCGATGCGTAGTAGAAGGTAGCTTGTCCGCAGTAAGTGAGCTTCAGGACAATCGAACGCCGACCTTAGTGGCAGCAAACTTCACAGTATCCGATGAGAAAAGTACGAGAACCAATAAGTACAGTAAGAGAGAAAATACGAATGTAGTTCGATTACCGACGCATAATTTATACTAAGATTCGCCTTATAGGTGTCTGAATCCTACCCCACATTGGCTTGAAGCTTGGTTACTGCCAAAATCTACTGGTTACTACGCACTGAAGATGCAACTATGATTGGTGGCAAACGTCTGAAGTCACATTATTTGGCTCGGGAAGCGATTCAGCACCTTAACTACCAAACCGAATTACCGATATTCTGTGCTATTACAAAAAGTTTCATTCAGTGCTGCACTGGTATAGCCTGAAGCGAAATACTAATATGGTTTTCGATTCACTAGACACTGTCGACATTCGTAATGACGTTCACAATACGAATCTGACCAATAAGAGGAAATGCCTTCCAGCCGTGTTCCAGCAGGTGGTTGTTTTCCGCCTGGCAATCGTTTCCCTGTAGAAAGCCAAAAATGTCTAGCTAACAACACGGGGACGTTAGCGATGTGACTCGACAATAAATAAAGTCACTGCCTCTTATTTTTCCGAAGGACCTTACACACTTCACGAACATCATTAATGAGTTCCTTTCCTCCCTTCGTATGTTTTCCAATCAACTGCAAAAAAACGCATATTAAGGTTCACAATAACAAATTTACTCCACATGGCTACTGGCGCACATAGTTGTCTACATCCGATTCCGGCTTTGCCTGTTACTGTGGTATCCATAGGATAGCCGCAGCATGTATACATCTACTATGGAACCATGGGAGGCTTGCGCTGCACTACCCACAGCTCAATCCACATACCCCACAACCAGTATAAACCAGAAGTAATAAAACCGGGAAGCATGTGGATGGGAGCCACTTTTCATCATCGGAGCCGGCCTATATCCGTTCAACATGCACCGCCGCAAAATTCCGAACAGTCTAATTTGAGAATCATGCGTACCTGGCGTACACAAATCAACGGTTAGGTCGTAACCCCCACTACACTGGAAGGAAAAACTAGGCCTAGCGTGATCACGGGACCTTCTACGCCATCCACCCAGCAAAATTAACAGCCTTCTGGAACCAGTAATCGAGAGGGAGGGTGTTGGACAGATAGGCACTTTTTCAACACACATCAAACGCAGTCAAGCAACAGTTAACACGTGATATGCAAGTAGCTCAACTCGCATGCGTATCTATAGGGCAACCTCAGCAATGATGTATTACCTGGATCAGCTTATGGGCTTGGGTCAGTAGCTGGAATCGGAAGCAGCTGAAATACCAAGCCCTACGTTGCTGATGATTATCTATTTAGCTTACTCGTCTTCTCTTTTATGTTATAGTGCGTGTCGACGCTGGTAGCTTACAATGTCAGGTTGCTTGAAGCACTCGCAACCGCATGTACTATAGAACGAAGCACACGACGTCAATGGGCTATCCACCATCGGTGCTTACCACTTCCTTAGTCGACGTTTCTTTTCTGCATGTAGCATTAATTTCTCGCACCTGGGCAACTGTCCCCTTGAGATGCGCTTACCATGAGCAACGATGCAATGTCAGCACTTCCCAATGCCTGTAAACAACATTAGTTCGTGATAAAATCAACTTGCTCATGTCCTATTAAGGTAATTTCGGTTTTCCAACGTGCCGCTTCCCTGAACACGGTTGGCCACAAAGCCGCTATTTCGGTATCCTCGTGGAATCCTCCCGGAGACCAGGTCCGAGCCAGCACAGGTGGCTCAGCAGAAGTATGCAGTTCACTGCATATATGCTACTAGGTCGGAGAACCTCCGTGCCTGCAACTGGGTCACCGCAGCCGATGAGCAGACTACGACGCAAACACTGTTAATGGAAGCGCTCCAATTAACGGATATCCTTCGGAAAAAGCGTCCAGTTTTCCGTGCCGTATAGAAGAATTGACAGAACTATACACTTGCGTACCATCAGTTTTGTCTTAACAGGAAGCCGGTGATGGTTTCACACACATGTATTCCGGATTGCCAAATGCGGCAGCCGCCTTCGCTAGGCGCACGTGCAGCTCGCTTGTCATCTGCAGATATGTAGACTTTGCGTGGCTTGGATAGTTACATCTGATTACGAGTAAGTAGACGTATTTCGGTATGATTCAAGTTGGTTCATCGCAGTTAGACTCCAAGCCGCATAGGTAAGCTACCAACCCAGTAAAGCATCAGATCTGCGTTTCGCCCTATTGGGGCTCGTCAGTGGTGCGCATCCATCGGTCCTCTACTGGGGATCGAACCCATGACTGCTAGAGGCTAACGCCAACTAGCCAGCAGCTTACGCCACTGAGCTTTGGGGGACGACACCCGACCATTACACATTGAAACCTAACTGCGATATAGCTCGGGGGCATAAGCTGCTGGCTAGTTGGCGTTAGACTCTAGCGGTCATTGGTTCGATCCCCAGTAGGGGACCGATGGACGTGTAGCACTGAAGAGTCCCAATAGGGCAAAACGCGTATCTGGTGCGTTTCCGGATTGGTAGCTTACCTATGCGGCTTGGAATCTAATGGCGGGCAATCAACTTGAATCATAGTTTTATCTCTCGAAGTGGACTGGAAAACCTCGTCGTCATAGTGGATTTTCGGCATACCGACTGTTTCCACCTCTGGATATGGCTGAAAAATTTATAGCACCTTGTTTATGCTGGTGATGAGCCCGCATTTGCTTTCTATCGATTCGACAGCCTCGTCGTTCAAAGCAACTCATCCATGCTGGGTGCATATAACGCATCGTCGTTAGCAAGCATTCATATAAGTATAATTTCCTCACCCGCTAGGGTTCTCACCCAGAAAGGACGGAGGTCCGACAACCCACCATCAATACCGTTTTTCACACGGAAAGCGTAAACACCAGCAGCATTAACAGTACAAGACATTACGGTATGAAGGTAACTATTAAACAGTGACAATGGGTAAAACGCAGCGTCGCTTTACACCAGAGACAACCGTAAGATCAGCCAATGTTTGTCCACAGAACGGCACCCTCGATCGCATATCGTTCTGCCGACCTTCAATCAAACTTGCTGATTTAATGGGACAACCAAACCTACCCAACACCAGCCACCAGTTCACCTTGTCAAATGCCTTGGTTAACTCAACAAACAGTGATTAAAATGTCTGGCATGGCTGTCTGTATTTTTCCTGCAACTGAGGAGCCGCAAACTCTATATCCGTGGTGCTGCTTTCCGAATGGGATCTGTATTGCTTTTCCAAAAACTGCGGTGCAAAGACCTGATTGAGGAGCTAGTTGAGCAGGATTCATGCGAGTACTTTACACACGCAACTCAGCAAGTTGATGCCACGATAATTCGTGGCACATTACTTGATTCCTTTGCCCTTGTGCAGTGTTAGTATAAAGGAATCTATTACGGTTTGCGTGCCTGTGTTAGCCCAGTATGCATGGGTACAATGCCTCATGTTTTTCGCCCGATTATGAAACACGCACTTAACAGATTGAAGCTCACGGCACATGTCCGACCTTCAAGTCACATGTGAGGCCAGGTTATACCACTCCTGCAGCCTTGTGATCGCCCCCGATACGTACGATACCACCACTCTAGCCATGCAAATACTGTGTATGTGATTTTAATGTTTAACCGATTTCTACCTCCTGTACTTCTATAGCGGTTGCGTTTCTCAATAACGGAACCTGTGTACAATTCTTTGTCTACTCATATTTGTAACTATTCCATACTTACGCGGTGTTAGTCCGACACCCTAAGAATACAACCGAATCTTTCACGTAAGCCGGCACCTTTTCTTCAAACCACACACGTTGCACCAAGTGATGCAGCGCATTCACCAACGCCGGTCCATCATGATACAACACTTCAGGCGGTATTCCATCCGCGCCGGCGTATTTGGCGTTTTAAAGCTGAGCGAGTGCTCTCTGCCTCTCAGGTAGTCGGTGTGTCTATAAGGCTGATCGTCATCTTACTGTTATAGTCCATTCAAAGTAGACCAGTCAAACTCGGAATTGTTATATACATATATATATGTAAATATATTTATATATATGGTGTGCTGAGGCTAGTGGTGGCTCGGTACCGGCACATGCTCCATCCACTGCTGCTACTGTTTTGCCATTGGCTCATGTGCTGGACGCCTTCTCCTGGGGACAGCTGGGTGAGATTTGGGTTACGCCCTTCTCCCTCCTAAGATCCAGGACACCAATCCGCATGAGTCAGTGAATCGACCATGTGCTAGACTCCCTTTCGGGTGTACATTTACTCGAAGGCTTAGACTGAGGACCCGAGTCCTTCTCCTATCAGATGTGGGCGCCCGGCGAGTATCCGGGTCCATCCTCTTCGGAGGTTAGGAAGTGGTCCATGGCCTCTTGCCCGTAAAACCTAGCCATGGGAGACAACAGGTCTACGGGTTATA